TTAACTATATCTCCCCCCCATTAAGTTTATTGGTACATTTAAAGCAAACAATGGCTACATTTCTCATTGGGATCTTGTACATGTTATGTCTTGGTTCTTATTTTTCCCCCATACCCTATGAATCCAGAGTAACTGGATTTTTAGGAGGTACCTGAATAGTTTCTGACCTATAATAATTGGTCTTTCATTCTTGAAAAACCTCAAATGTCACCTTATGATAAACTGCTTATTTTTTCTGTTTTTTGTTATTAAGCCATGTAAACAATAAATGCTCTGGGGTAACCTAGTTTTCCTTCAAGTACTTTAAGTAACAGGGGGGACAGAACAGTCCAGAAAAAATTACTTAAGGTCTTTATGTGAAACAGTTTGGGTTTAAGCTTGAGTATTTATAAGCAGAGGTTTTGACCCACATGAATGCATATTAAGGTATTAAAGAAGAGTCATGGTATATGGCAATGTTTAATTGTGTGAAACTCTGCCATGCATTAAAGATGATGCTATTCCTAGTTCTAAAGAATGCTTCTTAAGTCTAAGACATCACCTGAGGGTGGTCCTGCCCTACTGGGAACTTCTCCTTTATGTCCTGTAGAATGCAGGTTCCTCCTGTCCCTTCCTAGAGCTATTGATGGAAACTACTTCCTCCACACTTCCCCTGATCTGCATCTAAGAACATACGATTTCCCTGTGAAATACTGGCAGATGATAACTGATTCCTCTTAGGCTTATGGGTGGTTGTGAACAATGGTGGTGGGGGTCAGGATCAGCCTAAAGAGCTTTGTAAATTTTTATCCTCAAGGTTAGCGTACCATAATTTCACTCACTCAACCATCTCTTGAATGAGACTGTGGTGAGCCTACTAAGGCAGCAGGAGTATGCTGTGCTATGTGCCAATGTATGGGGTCCCACTGATTAGAACTTAATACTGTAAAACAAAAAACAGCCTGGATAGATCACTGTCTTTATTATCTGTACAATAGTATAAGATCACCCCCCCCAGGCTTTTTAGTGATCACAAAGAACTATGTAGTACTGTATAGTTTACTAAGGGCATTTTCATTCATTTCTAATGCTTTGACAATACTTTAGCTGGAAGATAGAAAAGCAAATGAGAGACATGATTATTCAGAACAGTTCTTCCATCATGGAACTTAATTTCAATAAGAAGTTTCTTGACAAAGGGCTGCTAAGTGAGACTTCAGAAATAAAGGAACATTTTTTCTTCATCTCTGGAAAAGGGATCAGGTCTCATGTAGGAGTCTAGGTCAAAAACTTTAGTTTCTTCAAATCAACAGTGACAGGTCAGCAGCTAATG